ATAATAATAATAAAAAACTCATAAATTGGTTTCTATATTGCATTTCAATTGTTTCTAGCCTATTAATCTGAATGGTCATGAAGTGTGTAAACCTATGAAGATTCCCACACATTGAATTCTGTGATATGCATTCATTATGTCCTGTTGATAAAACTGCTGTCACAGAATTCAGAGCACCTGCCTACTGACCTACCAAGGTGCTATGCATGAAGGTAAAAAAATTTTCTGTGTGCAGCAGCCCCCCCCCCCCCCTCCAATACTTACCTGAGCCTGAAACCACGATGTGCATGAGAGCTGTCAATCACAGCTAGTGAGCCAATGAGAGGGGGATTGGGGCCAAGCCACGGCTGTGTGTGTGACTGGACACAAGGAGCAGCAGCTCAAAAGTGAGCCTCCTCGGGTGCCCCCATATAAAGCTGTTTGCTGTGGGGGCATTTGAAAAGAGGGAGGAGCCAGGGAAACCAGCGAGGGACCTGAGAAGAGGAGGTTCGGGGGTTGCTCTGTACAAAACCACTGCACAAAGCAAGTAAGTATTATAGTTACTTTTTCATTTACATCCACTTTGTGGTTATTCCCACTAGACTTTCTATTAATAACCTTTCATTGATCTCTGCATTTTTATATACAAACTATACTTTCAATTGGTACTTTCTGTTTCGTGTTTAAACCCATTCAATCCCATCAAGCTGATGCAAGGTGGGTGGAGTGGCTGGGCAGTGGGACACCCTGGACATGTTGTCCGCTGTACATGTTAAAAATTTAAATGCAAAATTTTCTTAGTTCAATGAGAGGTACTCTACAATACTGCTTAATGCTCAGAGATGATAATACAATACAGTGCGCATCAACACATTTACTGCATCAGGCACAGCTGTTTCCATTCATATAGTAACAAATGCATGGAGCAGCTCAAATAAAAAATGTTTGTTTTTTTTCCATGAAGATGAGATCAGGTCAGGAAATGGCTCTGGAGAAAATCTACTGTCACATATGGGTAGAAGAAAGCAGCAGTTTTCATATCACACACAGCGTGCTTGGGATGTTAATGAACTCAGTAAGCAGTGAAAGCTTTTCAGGATAGGAAACGTGCTGTCTGACCTTGACTTCCATGCTGTGCTTCACCAACCGCTCACGGGACTGCAGAATCTCATTTCTTGACACCAATGACTCAGAGAGCTCTCGAAAAGACCTTTGTAGATCATTAAGATGACGAAGAAGTACACGACTTTGTTGAGGTGTCAAATCTTGGGCTTGCTCAGAGATAAATAACTGAATTTTAAAAGCTATGTTCTCCAGTTCTAGCCTGGTGTCTGCCACAGGCTGCCTCAAGCTCTGTAATATAGACAAATGTACTGATGTTAAACACTGGAAGCATTTATCAATAGGTCTGTTGAATGTGCGGTTTCCAATAGCAGCCAAATTACTTGTGTCATTATCCAGTAGGGCTATAAGAGAATAGAATAAAAAATGCAGCTGGTTACTACGGGCAACACACAGTTTTTTTTTTTGGCGCTATATGGGTAATTTTCAATCATGTCCTAACACAGGGCCAAAGGGTTTGACAGATTTGCTTTGAATCTAAGAGCCAGCTAAAAAAAGTTAGGAGCCAGGTAGAGGGGGTTAGCAAGATAGGCAGTGGATTGTGGTATTCTACAGGGGGTAAGGGGTTGGGGTACAGTGGAGATATGGGCTCCTAGGTGTTGGGGGTATGTAGGGCAACCTGTGTACAGGTAGGTGGGGTGTTGGGGGATATGGGGGCCCCTGAGTACAGGTAGGTGGGGTGTTGGGGGAGTATGGGGCCCTTGTGTACGTGTAGGTGGGGTGTTTGGGGGTATAGGGGCCCCTGTGTACAGCTAAGTGGGGTTTTAGAGCCCCTGTGTACAGGTAGGTGGGTGTTGGGGGGTATGGGGGCCCCTGTGTACAGCTAGGTGGGGTAATGGGGGGTATAGGGGCCTCTGTGTACAGATGTGGGTATGGGGGCCCCTCCCTGTGTACAGGGGGGGGGTATGGGGGCCCCTATGTACAGGTAGGTGTTGTCACTCACCGAGGTGCAGGGTTCATGGAGTTTGGAGGGAGGGTACTGAATCCCGGCCAGCATAGCCTGGCTCTGCCTAGGCTGTGGCATGACAGGGAGAAAGTGAAGGCAACGCAGTTTCATCTATGTTTCCCTCTTTGTAGGGGAGGGGGGGTGAGTAAAAAGGAACTAAAGTCAATCCAGCTCTCTAGCCAGCTACCCCACACTCCCCATCCACTCACCGCTGGTAAGGAAAGGGCGACAGATCAAGTCCACAACACCTTCAACCTCAACCCCAGCAACCGGCTGTCAAACCGGGAAGGAGATGTTGGAAGGTGGGCGGGCAGTGAGAGCAGGCAAGGGAAGCCCTCAGTCAAGATGGCAGGAGCTGCTGAACTGTCAATGACTACTCATCACAGCCCCATCCACCAGAGGAGGGCGCTGGCTCCTGGAAAAATGTAAGGGCAATGCCAAAAAAAAAAAAAAAAAAATATCACAATCACTGTATCCCGTTCCAGCAGGCCACAAAGCTGCAGCCTCAATTACCGGCCAGCCTGATTATTATTATTATTATTATACAGGATCTCTTGCTTCACGCACCCATGGAGGAGGGCCACATGGGGAGACCGAAGCCATACAAGCATCCATAGAAGACCACTGCTGCAGTGTATCTAGGCACCAGGACGCAATTTCTAGTTGCCATAGCTACCTGCAGCCTGGGATTTGTCAAGCCCTGCAAGATCAAGAACTCAGTACCGCCTTTGGACAGTCTCTTCCGGCATAAAACCCACTCTCTGCTATATGAATCCAGTTAGTTACAAAGCAGTGTCAGAAGTATAAACGCCATAGAGGGGTGGGTAAATAAACTCAGAGAAAGGGATTTTACGATAATAAAAAAAAATCCTGTTTTCTCTTTCGTTCACTGTCAGACACAGCTCTTCAGAATCTTGACCATAGAGAGGTTCCAAAGTAGTGTCTCAAGGAGGGGTGAGCAAACCAACAAGCAACTGGAGAAACCAGGCAAACATGCCAACCACCCAAACATACCTGAAAGGGGCAAACAAGGAACCTGAAAAAGCAGCCTGCAAATCCATGTGGCCAAAGCACCTGAAGATGCAAACACATCAACTTGTAAATCATTTTGTAAAAGTGTTCACAAACGCCCAGGTAGGCACCTCGCAAATCTGAGATACAGATGCCAGAAAGCACAGGAGGCACTAATTGCCCCACCAGAGAGTGCCATAACAGAGAATGGAGGAACCCACCCCTTAATACTGTATGCCAGAACCAGCGTCTGTCGAAGTTAAATCATGGCAGAGGAGGCCACTGGGCCTTACATTGGGCAATCTGTGAGCATAAGAGAAAGCAGACCACCAGTAGGAGGCTGCAGTGGACAGGTACCCAAGTACCAAATAGGGAGACTTACAAGACTTCCATTTCAGACACCTACCTCGCAGAAGCAATGGTGACCAAGGAGACAACTCTTTGAGAAAGAGTAAACGGGAATATCCTGAATACTCTCTAAAGGAAGGCTTCTGGAGAACCAAAATCAAATCCATAGGGGTAACGGGGCAAACGGGGGGGGGGGGGGGGGAAATCGCCAAATGGCGTACCCATTGAACAAAGGAGCGAAGCAGGAAGAGTGCGGCCAAGAGACTTTTTAAAAAAAAAAAAAAAGGGACGAGGGCAGAAACATGAGCCATAATGATACTCAAGGCAATGTCTAGTGCAATGCCCGGTGAAGAAAGCCCAACACCCGAGCCATCGAGAAGGGACATGAAGGGACACCCAGAGCCTTGCACCCAAGCTTTCCAGGCACAATGACATATCATCCGAATATGAAGCAAGCAAACTGGACAACTACCCAACCCTCAAAAGCAGGCATACAATAGTCTAGGCTCCCAGCCAGAGACAATAACCCAGGGTGGTAGACCAGACCCTGTATTTGGCGGTCCTCTCGAAGAGACCACTGCCAGGGAGCATCCAGGACCACTGCAACATGTCAGCATACCACAGACCAGTCTGGAGAAATCAGAATGACCGGAATCCCTGCGGTCACTGTCCCGCAAACCCATAGCAGCAAGCGTGGGAACAGCCTGAGAGGAGAAAAAGCAGAAAAGAAACAATACTGGTCACATGACACCACCAGTGCATCCATTGTTTCCAACAGGGGGTCCCACACTGCCACAACATGGCACCTCCCTGTAACGCAGGCCAAAAGATCCACTACCAGGGATCCCACCATAGGCAGATCTGACGAAAACCATCCAGATGCAGAAACCACTCCCCATGATCCAACGAGGTAATCCCCCTACCAATTCTTGACACCAGGAACATCCACGGCAGAGAGGGCCAGAATGTGCTACGCCATCCACTGCAATAAGAAGAAAACCACCGCCGCAAACACTTCTTGTGCGGCCCAGGTGGTTGACATAGATCACTGAGGTAGTAATGTCTGAATGAATGCTGACCAGGAGTCTACAGAGAAGGATAGTCCAGTGCACCGAGAAAGAAAAAAGTAGAACCATGCTGCATTTTTTCTGCACACTGTACTGTAACACAGCAAAATGTATCAAAAAGGCACTGGAACAGAGTATGATATAAATTGTAAGCAAAAAACGCATCCTGGGTGCATTTTTGTGGTGTGAAATGGCCCTTATAGTGGAACTTTACCCATAACAATTTGATGAACAATAATGTTCTTTAGCAAAGAACATACATTCCACATTAATAACTATGCTAATAAAACTAGTGTGTGCTGTAAATTGCCTTCAGCATTACTCCCATTTCTTCTTGCTGGAGGCTGCCATTGTGTTGAAGCCCAGAGCTCCTGAGCAGCATAAATCTTTAGGCTGTCAGCAGATCGGCCTCTACAATTTCGGCACAGTTCCAAGAAAATAGACAGCAACTGATCATGTGCAGAGCAGTGTGAGACAGTTCATTACTGGATTTTAAACAGTGTAGACACTTATTTTTAATGTTTTAAATAGCTATACCTGCAAAAGGGACCAGTCTGAAGTGGTCTACCAGGACTCAATTTTCTGACTAAAGTTGCACTTTAAAAATGCTCCCAACCCACTCCTAACACCTATACTGACTAAACTCTTTAAGAGAGATCTGTATACGTACCTATGTTCAGGCTGTTCTGGTCCAATCATATGATCTCTCCCATGTCCGCCAGCACCAGGTAAAGGGGAGAGGAGAGAGTGCTTGACAATGGCTGATAATGCGTGGGAGCGGCGACATCACCCACAAGCTACTATGGCCCATCTGTTGATGCTCCCTCCAACCCCCTACAGCTACTGCTGGCTGACAGAGGAAAACTGGGTCACGTGATTGGACAGGAGTAACCAAAAAATAGGTAAGGATACAGATCTTTCTTATACAGGTTAGTCAGAATAGGAGTTAGGAAAGGGGAGGGAGTAATTTAAAAATAGTTACTTTTGCCAGGAATTCTACTTTAAATATTGCTGCCCATACTGGAAACATGACACTTGTTTAACAGAAATTACCTCTATGTGATCTATCTGACTGTGCAATGTAGACTCTAGTCCCAAATCATTTGCCTCTTCACAATCCAGTGATTCAGAAGTTTCCTTCACCCACTGAAGAAGGGAAAGGAGCTTGCTTTCCAGCTCTTCGTGTTGTGCCAAGACTTTTACCTATGAACAAAATATTTATTTCTGCTTTATCTTGACATTTATTTGAATACATAAATCACAAAATCCAGTATCCAAAACATTTGCACCACAGCAAGTGCCGATATATATATATATATATATATATATATATATATATATATATATATTCAAATAAAAATATTTTAGACAATAAATTATCTATACTGACCTTTTCCTGCTCCAGCATGGACTGCAGATGTTTGACATGTGTTTGTGATAGATTTCTGATGGAATTAAGAGACTTTTCTAAATTCTTTGCATCTTTCTCTAAAGCTCGAAGAAGCTGTGCTGGAACATGTGGTGGCTGTTCAGCAACAATCTGACTAACAAACTCAAGCTCTTGGGCCACAGGGGACTCCAAATCCTTTAATTCTTGATCGAGTACCTGCAGACAGCAAGGAATGATCATCCTTTGAGTATGAAACAAAATACTTAACGATATTAAGGGTTATTGCCTGAAATTTTATTTTTTATTCAATAAAAGATTTTCAAAGACGTGAGAAGATGCACTCTCTGTGGAAGAATCCTGTTTCAATCACCCACTTTAGCCAGTAGGGCCACCATACACGTTACAATCTAGCAGTACAATCTAACTTAAATTTACCACAACTATGCAATATGAGGATATACCCAATCTCACCAATCAATTAGTGTCCAATCACGCAAGTGGTTGCACTACATAGTTATTGGTAGATCTAATGGAGTATAAGCTGATTTTAAAGTGTATGGTGAGCTTATACCTGTTCTTATCAGCCTTATGCATTTATGTTTCAGCACAAAGGTGGGAAGCGAAAGTTTAAAAAATATATATAGATCTTGGGCCAGTTTTCAAAAAAAAAAACAAAAAACAAACAAAAAAACAGGAGATATCCATTACCTTTGAAATGATGGTCCAATTTACCCTAAACATGACCACGTATAACTCACTTGTCTGGATAAGCAAAGTAGTTGCAATGATAAGTACAGTTTTACTAAGGCCCCTTTCACACAGGTGTTCCATTTGTCCATTTTTATCCATCCGTTGACGGATGAAAAACGGACATCAATGCATCTCTAAGGAAAAACGGATTTAACCACTTGCCTATGGGGCACTTAAACCCCCTTCCTGCCCAGGCCAATTTTCAGCTTTCAGTGTGGTCGTATTTTGAATGACAATTGCACGGTCATGCAACACTGTACCCATATGACATTTTTATCATTTTTTTCCACACAAATAGAGCTTTCTCTTGGTGGTATTTAATAGCCGCTGAGTGTTTTATTTTATTTATTTGTTTCTATTATAAAATTTTGCAAGCAGGTAATTATTTTCCTTCACTGATGTGCGTTGATGAGGCTGCACTGATAGGCAGCACTGCTGGGCACTGATAGGCAGCACAAATGAGCTGGCATTGATGATGCTGCACTGATAGGCAGCACTGATGGGTGGCACTGCTGGGCACAGGTGGGGGCACTGATGGGTGGCACTGCTGGGCACAGGTGGGTAGCACTGCTGGTCACTGATCATCAGTGCTGCCAATCCCTTTGCTGACAATTGCCGGTTCTCGGCAGTACTTTCCTCACGCTGTCACAGCGTGAGGAAAGTGCAACTGATAACCGGCAACTGCATTTACCCGTGATCAGCTGTGTCCGTAGGAGGGAGTGTTCTGGAATGACGTCCATGGACATCGTTCCAGAACCAGACAACCGCGCTGTAGCCGTCCTTCGGCTATAGCATGGTAGGGAACTGGTTAAACAGATGATCATCCATTTATATCCCCATCTGTCAACATCCATTTTGTGGAACAGATCAATGCCCTTTTTTTGTTCCATTAAAAAAATAGAATGGATTAAAAACAAATGTAAATGGACAGTTTGTTTTTGCATTCATAGTGGATGTAAAAAACTGATGAAAAACTGCTATAAAAACTGGTAAAAACTGATATATAAACCGATGTAAAAACTGATCCATTTTTTTCTTTGAAAAAACGTGCCTGAACGAATGAAAGAAAAAAAAAAAAAAACGGAACACACATGTGAAAGGACCCTACATTCTGAAGTTTCAAAACTGGTTTCAGGTATTAGACCTGGTTCACACTGGATCTGACTTTGAAAACTATTTCAAAGTCTCATGTCAGTGCGATTTCAGGTGTGACTTGGCATACATCTGTGCGACTTCATGCACAGATGTCTATTCAAGCCACACCTGAAATCGCAAAAATAGTGCAGAAACTACTTTCAAAATCAGTGAGACTCAAGCCCGCCAGAGTAACAGGAACCCAAGCAGAGAGCTGAGAGAGAGCAAGTTCTTCCTTTCTAAAAAGGGTCATGACTGCTGCCTCAGAGAGGAGGCCAGCAATGAGTTAAGGGAGCATCCTCAGCTGTTTTTGGGTAGGCTGTAGCAACAACAGGGGGCACAGGATGGTGAGATCCTTCTGCGTGCTAAAAACCCTCTGCCCACTCCCAAAAAAAAAAAAAAAAAAAAAAAGTGGAAATCACTGGAGTAGCAGTGAGTACTTCAGTGACTTCCAGCAGCATTGGCCAGGTACGGTATATACATAGTTACAATGGTCCAAGCTGGACCAATGCAACAATGTAAAATAAACCTATAATAAGGCTTACCTGTAGGTAAAGTAAAATATCTCCCAAACATGCACCATTTAGTAGCAGCTGGTGATGTCACTGGTGCATGTGCACTGTGCTCTCAATGGACAGCATGCCATCAGCTGAGAGAAAGCTGTGGTGTGGCCGTGTTGTCATCACAGCTGGGCCATTCAAACGGCCTTAACCTGTGACCCCAGAAGGAAGACGGAGTGAAGATGAAAGCCCTGTCTGTGCTGACAGCGTGCCGCAGGAGGGCTTCATTTTAAGGTAAGTCTGCCATAATGTGCTAGAATGTGGTGCATACCAGCACATTATGACATTATACTGCAGGGGCCCAAGTTTTCTTTTTTGCGTTTTACTACCACTTTAAATGTTCAACTGGGTTGGGATCAGGTAAATGATTTGACCATTGATGAATATTGTACCACTTCAGCTTCAAAAGCTCTCGAGTTGCTTTCACAGTATGATTAGGATCATTCTGCATCTGTACTGCAAAGCATTTGGCTGAATCTGAGCAGACAGTACAGTCACAAATTCTTTGCAATGCATCCTGCAGATTCAGTCAGCAGTCATATCAACATAAACACTATTGACAAAGTTCCACAGACATCCATACATACCCATGTTATAACACACCCTTTGCTATATTTCATAAAATGACATGATATGCTTTAGATCATGAGCTGTTCCTTATCTTTATACACTTCACTTGCTTTCATTCTGGTACACATTGATTTTAGTGTAATCTTTCCAAAGATTATTGTTGCAGAACTGGACAAATTTTTGTTAGATGTTTTCAAGCAAAGTCTATTCTGGCCTTCTTATTCTAGAGGCCTTTTGGTAAACCACCGGTATTTACTTGCATGAACTCTTCTTTTGATTGTAGATTTTGACAGCGATAATGCCTACCTCTTGCAGAGGGTTCTCACCTAGATAAAATGTTTTAAAGGGGTTTACCTTCACCATGGAAAATGTCTGATCATCCTGTAGAGTTGTCCTCCTACAGTGCCTTGAAAAAGTATTCATACCCCTTGAAATTTTCCATATTTTGTCATGTTATAACCAAAAATGTAAATATATTATTGGGATTTTATGTGACAGACCAACACAAAGTGGTACATAATTGTGAAGTGAAAGGAAAATGATAAATGGATTTCAAAATTTTGTACAAATATGTGAAAAGTGTGGTGTGCATTTTGTATTCAGCCCCCGAGTCAATACTTTGTAGAACCACTTTTTCTGCAATTACAGCTGCAAGTCTTTTTGGTTATGTCTCTACCAGCTTTACACAACTAGAGAGTGAAATTATGTTCACAATTATTTGCCACTTTGTGTTGGTTTATCACATAAAATCCCAATAAAATACATTTACGTTTTTGGTTGTAACATGACAAAATGTGGAAACTTTCAAGGGGTATGACTTTCATGACTCAACTGTATATTATTAGAAGAAAACATTATGTCATTATTGTTGTGGGTATATTGGTAAGTGTATATAGGTGTGATAGGAAAACCTTATTTATCAATAGGGAAAATCAATCAATATTATACCTCTGCCTGTCTTAGCTTCTCCTCAACATCGTGAAGACCTGGTGAAACATGATGCAGGGGTCCCAGTTTTATTTCTATGTTTCGAAGCATTGATAGGAAACAAACAAGGTTTTCTTCATGTTCAAGACAAGCTTGTTTCCTCCGTGCATCTTGAAAAGTCTAAACAACAATTTATACAGACAGTTGTTATTCTGTATTCCATATGTAAACATGGCAAACATAACAGACTAAGAAAATAAACTAATAATATTATTATTATTATAATACAGTATTTATAAAGCGCCAATAGTTCGCTCAGCGCTGTACATTACAATGGGAGACAATACAATAACAATACAGTGCGAAACACGAGGGGTTCGAGGGCCCTGCTCCTTGGAGCTTAAAATCTAGGAGGGGGGGATAGTGGTACAGGAGGAAAAGCTGTGGGGGATGGAGTGGTAGGAAGAGTGGAGGAGATCGGCAATTAGCAGGGGGCGGGGTAGGCTTCCCTGAAGAGGTGGGCTTTCACGGTGCGTCTAAAGGAGAGGAGAGTAGGTGATAGTTTGATGGATTGGGGTAGGGAGTTCCAGAGGATGGGTGATGCCCTGGAGAAGTCCTGGAGGTGGGCATGGGAGGAGGAGACCAGGGAACTAGAGAGAAGGAGGTCTTGTGAGGAGCAGAGAGTGCGTTTTGGGTGGTATTTGGGTATTAGATCGGTGATGTAGTTTGGGGCAGTATTATAGACAGCTTTGTACATCAGTGTTAGCATTTTGAATTTGATCCGTTGGGCAATCGGAAACCAGTGGAGGGATTGGCACAGGGGGGTGGCAGAAACAGAGCGGTTGGTAAGGTGGATTAATAAAGAGTAAACTTTAAAAAGCATTATAAAATGTAATTTTTAAAGTGAAACTCAAGGCAAACAATTAAATACACAGTTAAAACAGTAATCGTAACTGTGATTTAAAGATCACTACTGCATGGTCAGACAGGTGGCACAAAGTTCCTGAAATTTATCTTTGTAATTAATGGTGAATGTAGTTTGGAAAAGATGACTCTCTAATATAAGGCTGTATCTGTGCTATAACAGAGCAGGTCTGGATGTACAGTTGG